TGGCGGTGCCGAGAGCTCATTTATGTCTAGCGGTGCCGAGCGTGCTCCTTTCCTTTGATGGCGTGGACAGCTCATTTTGTGTGTGCCGGTGCCGACACCTCCCTGTCTCCGTGGCGGTGCCGAGAGCTCCTATTCTGTTTGGCGGTGCCGAGCGCTCCTGTTCTCTGTGGCGGGGCCGAGAAATCATTTTTAGTGGCGGTGCCGAGAGCTCATTTATGTCTGGCGGCGCCGAGAGCTTATTTCTTTCATTGCGTTGCAGCGACCTCATTTTCTGTATGGCGGTGCCGAAAGATCCTTTTCTCTCTGGGGGAGCTCATGTTACTCATGCTATGTTTGGCGGTGCCGACAGCTCATTTTCTGTATGACGGGGCCGAGAAATCATTTTTATGATGGCGGTGCCGCTTCCGTGCCGAGAGCTCCTATTACGTTTGGCGGTGCCGAGAGCTCATTGTCTCTATGTCGATGCCAGGGGTCTTGTCAAAGAGATCGCGTGTCATAGCGATGTAAATGTTGTTTCGGGGCGCATCCTGGTAACAGTGTACTCCCCCCATCTTACAGGGGGGGTGGTGCAGCCAGGGGAAGTGCCTATAGCAGCCCGTGCAGGGGTTAGAAAAAGTCTTCCCAGGCCTCTGATGGTTTTTTTCGGGCTGTCCAGGGCTTCTTTTTAACCCTGGCAACACTGGGGGCAGGAGCATCCCTCGAGGGATGCTGTAATACCCTGCATGCCTGTGCTGGGGCCTGTGTGCCTTGCAGGGCTAAGGGCGCGGACCTTCGAGGTGGATTTGGACCCCTCCACATATGTGGCCACGGTTTTGTTTCCGCCCCGCGGGCCCGCATGCCCCCCTCCCCCCCTGCAGCGCGGGGTTTCTTTCGGGCCCTGCATGCCTGCACAGGGTCTGCAGCAAACCCCGTTTTTGACAGGCACCTGGGCGAACTCATCGTACGGGCGGCGTAGAAGCCCGCATAGGGTCGAGACAAATTTGCGAGTGCCTCCGTGCCACCTGACGTGCACGCCGGCTGAAATGGAACCCTCCATCCTAGGGGGCCAGGGTGCAGAAAAAACCCTCCGGGGCGGAAAAAAAACCCAGCCCGTTTAGGGTTCAGCGCTGAGGATTCGCAGGCCTAGGGTTTAGGGTTTGGGGTTTAGGGCTTCGGGAAACGAATCCTCGCCATGCCGGGCAAATTCCAAGCTTTACGAGATGCCACCCTACACCCTAAACCCACTATTTCCTGTTTCGATTCTCGCCCTAGACCCTTATAACCCTATATTTCCTACCTCGATGTTATCCTTCCTTGCTTTGCAATTCGGCAGGCGCCCCAAGGTTAGGGGTTCAGAGTTTTGGGTTTCGGCTTTTGGGTTTGAGGGTGTGGTATTCATTATGCATGGGGAACTCTCACTTGAAACCTCCACGTTGGGGTTCTGGGTCTCTTGGCTTCGCAAGGTACGTAACACATAGGAGCTGCTTAGGAAGTGATCAGAGTGTCAGGTTGTATGGGTTGAGCTCTCAAGGTCAACAAATTAACATCATTCCGTGGTTCCTGACACACGCTGCGAGACAATTCATGTAATTAGATCGAAGCCGGAGGTGCGTTCACATAAAAACATTGACAGCAGAACATCGAAAGCAGAAGAAACAGCGCCCCTGCACTGTCAACGATTGCCAAATGGCCAAGAGGCAGTTCCTATCATTCTGGGGCTCCGTCGCAGCCTCCTCAACCAAAACGGCCTGGCCAACATCTGGTTTGTGGCGGTGGAAGCCGGCTTCCGTCTTGTAGAATGACGCGACTTCCATGGTCGGCTTGATAGTTGAACGCCTAAGCCCTACAATGCTCCATCCTACACCTCGAACACGCTTCTCCGGATCTGTGCATGCGGGATCTTAGGGTTTAGGGTTTAGGGTTTTGGGGTTTAGGGTTTAGGGGTTCAGGGTTTAGGGTTTAAGGTTTAGGGGTTTAGGGTTTAGGGGTTTAGGGCTTCAGCATCTGTGCGGCCCAGTTTGACGCGACGCTCTGGCTGGCATTCTGAGAAGGCAGCATCGCCAAGAGCTCCACAAATCCCATAAACGAGCAATATCTCAGTCTGTGATTGGCAGTCTGGTGTACGAAGTCTGTATCAAGCTGCATGGCTGAACTTTGGAGATCAACCTGCTCGAAGCCATTCCCATCCCAACAAGATTTGCTTTTGCATGGCTTGGTCTTCCCAACGTGCACGCCGCACCCATTTGCGGCTCACTAAATCCGAAACACCAGTAACTAAATACCAACCCTGGAGCCGAAACGGTAAGCCCCAACCCCTAGACCCCAAAAGCTCTGAATCCCCAAACCACAAACCTCTCAAACCCTCAACCCTGGGTCTTGACGCATCGGGCCTAGCGTAGGATCTTGCGCCTAGTTTCTGGTTGAGACCGCCACACTAAGCGACAAAAAAGGCCGAGCGCACCGCAGGCTCTACTGCCTGCTTGCCGGTCCTTCGAAGCATCCTCACAGTCCCTTCTTTTCGGGTTTAATTTAATAATAGTACTAATAATAATGGTAGTAATCGTAATATTGGTAATAGTAGTAATAATAGTCATAATAGTAATAATAACAGTAATAATAATAAATTAAACGTCCAGGTTTAGCACCCGGTAAAGCCCACACTGCAGTTTTGGGATCAGGGTTTCGGCACAAGGCTCATGGGAATTGTACGGTTACCAGGGACATTATTAAGGGCTCTCGGGTGGTTTCACAAGGCATCCTCTTGGAGTTTTCTGTGCCGGAAGCCTGACGCACCCGAGCCGACGACCCCATCGACGGGTTAGATTTTAGGGCTTATAGGGTTTATTTATAGGGCTTATAGGGTTCAGGGCTTAGGGTTTAGAGCTTAGGGTATAGAGCTCAGGGCCACGTTTATAGAGGAGCCTTAATGCTGAGGATAGGGCTTGGGGGCCAACCGTAGTAAAATGTACCGGGGCTGCAAGTGGATACTCTTGATTACTTAATTCTTTAGACCCCCATAGTGCTTCTGTTTGGGACTTCGGAGTCTTGTTGGGTTTCCCGTTGTTGTCCTGGGATCTTATCTTCTCGCTTTATCAGCTTGAACAGTCGAAGGCTAGGGAGCATTTCTAGCATGACCGAGGGCAGAAGTACTGCTGACGATCCTGACTCACCCAAATCCATCAAAGCTAGGGGATTGAAGGTCTTTCCGTCATGCAGGGTTTTGTCCATCGCAGCATCCAAACAGGTTTGGGGGCATCGCTCATCGCTGAAAACCTATCAAGGATCTAACGAACTCCCTTGAAAAAGGTATCCTATCACTTATGTGGGTGTTTCAACATCTGGCCCTTTTGCTCCATTTTGCCGGGATCAACTGAACTAGGTTGGCCCTTTAGGCCATTGAACAGTATTCGTATATATGATCCTCTTAGACCCAAGAAGGGGAACGTATAAACTGTCCCGAAGGCCTACCTCGTTCAGGGTCGGTTAGGGCAAGGCAGTCCTTCGTGCAACTTCGTTCTTGACGTTGCCGAACACCGATTCCTCCTTCGTCGACTCCTCTTTCTGGTACTCGCTAGCCGGGTGCTCCTTTGAACACGATTTAGGGTTCGGGGCTTTAGGGTGATGGTTGTGGGCTAAAGCAAAATGAGAGCAACCCAATTCAAGCGAGGGAGCTTAGGGGCTTAGGAATTACTTGGCCGCATTTGGGGTTAAGGGGGTCAGGGTCTGGTCTACAGGATGCTGGGACACTCAGGAGGACTTCGAGGATGTCAAGAAGCAACGTTCATGGAGGTCCAGCCCGATGCTGCTCAAAGATCACAAACCCAAAGTTAGGGTCGCTTCGCGAGCAGGGCCCTTCTAACTAACTCGAGACGTGACCTTCTCATCCATCACAGAAATGGGAGTTTCCGAAAGTAAGGGGTACCATATATTGGGGTCCTTATGATAAGGATCCTACTATTTAGGGTACTATATTAGGGTCCCCAATTTGCGGACGCTTTGTCTTGAGGTTTTGAGTATCGCCCATGCCTCGGGCCTTCGTGCTTTGTCTTGAGGTTTTGAGTAAACTTACTTAAGTATATACTACCATCAGATCTTGGTATCTGGTACAAGGCAGCAATGCGCAGTGCAAGAATCCTGCGAGGTGCCAAGGAATGGCAACAATCGGACCGAGGCACCCTAAACCCTAAACCCCAAACCCTAAAATCCTAAATCCTAAACCATGAACCCTAAACCCGAAACCCTACACCCTAAACTCAGTGCATCCTTGAAGAGGTCGAAGTCATCCAAGGCAGTTTTTGGGTCCGGATGGAAGGCTTGGTAGAACGAATTCCTGGGCAGCAGGAACCCTCAACTCAGCCGGGGATTTTCTGGGCAATCAAGCATGGTCACTGCATGAGAGCCCCGAAAAGGTTCGACGTCGATCGCTGGATGTCCTTTTGGTCCTAAACCCGAAACCCTAAGCCACAGTCCAGGCAAGGTGCTGCTTCAGGCACTGGCGAGAGATGCCCTAGCAGGAAAGGCAGGATTCAGAGCGACACCAAAGAGACTTCAGGCCAAGGTCCACTGACGGCAGAATCAAACCCCAGACCCAGACCCCACACCCCTAGAGTTTAGTAATTTAGGGTAATTAGGGTTTAGTGCTAGACGCCAGGCTCTAAACCAAACACGCCGTCCAATCCAACAAGCCCGCCATCACTCCAAAACTCAAACAATCCTCCAGGCTCCTAACCCTGAGCCACTCTGCGAGCCCTTGCATTCTTCTCATGAGGAGGACCAAGTCCCCTAAACCCTAAACCCTAAGCATCGGGGGACTTCGGACGCTCTCTCGCGCCTTCAAGATTACACGCTGAGTGCAAGAGCTGAGGCCC